GTTCATTTGCAGAACTAAGCGTGATTTGCCAGCGATATTCAGAGGGAACTCGTTTGCTACTGCCTATAATTCGACCACACATCGCCATTGTTACTGCTATTATTCATATTACAATATATCGTCTATTTCCCACAGTACGGGCGGAGCTTCGCTGAGTTTGCCAAAGTATCCGCATGGCAGTTTTTGATAGCGAGAGAGTACAAAAACTAATGCTTGAAAATGGAGGTTTGACAAGGTTTTCAACGTGTTAAAATGTCTGCAGGGCCACGCCCGCTATACGCATGGGAATCGCCTATAGCTATCACAGTGTCATTTTTAGTGCCTTACTTAGTGGACTAAGTGACCAAGACATCAACAAACATCTTAGCGAGGTCATGTACAAGCAGTCAGCATGTAAGCTTTATGTAAGCCATCCGAGATGCTTCTTGACCGCTGTTAGCAATAAGTTTTGCTCAAAATGACTCAGTAGATCGCCGTCAACGTCCCACACTGACTCCAATTGAAAAATCATTCATTCTTCTGTAAGCAAGAGTGATTGTTGGTTTGATACTTGCCGGTAATACGGATGACAATAGTAACAGCTACATCATAGTTTAGCGTGGTCGATTTGAAAAAAACGCCGAGATGTCGCTTTAGTTTTGGGGTTTTCTATTCTATTAAAATTGGCACGGTGAGCGGAAGTATTAGCTAGTTTTTGAATGTAATTCTAGTGCCTTTTCATGATACTAGCCTATCTGTCATTTCATTTTTGAAAGTTTTCGTTATCTGATTGAAAATTCTGCAAACGTTTTTCTAGTCACCTTGAGCTTCATCCTCCGACTCGCTTTCGTCCTAAACACCTGTATATAACGTTAATGGGCGCACCATCAGCTCACCGTTGCCACTCTTGACGAAAGAGTGTAGGTGATGACAAGACCTAGCAGCAAAGCCGACCGCATTGAAACTGACTTGGAGCTTGCTAATTCTAAGTATTTGTAGCAATCCTTATCAGCGATACCCGAATATGTTCTATGTTCATAACTTCAGTTCGTTTTGTTAAAAGGGGTAGATCGGTCTACTACCGTTGATAATTACTTAATAGATAAAAAAAGCGTTTCTGCTTTTCTTTTCAGCAAGTTTTGTTATTAATATCGATTGATTCAAGTGTTCAAGACCGCTCAAGCAAAATGACGTTGAAACTGTACGTAGATTAGTGCGAAAATTAAAAGCAGCATCATATAGGAACTGAAAAAATCTTTGATTAAAACGAGCTGTCATTCGCTTCGTGTGTTAGTAGGTGAAATCGATTGCATGCTTTTGTAGATGCATTGGATTTCGGAAAGCTCTACCAATCTTTCCTGGTAAGAGATGCTAACCAAAATCATTATCTGAGATGTGTCTTTAAAGCGGAGATAACAGGTATCAAATACTTTAATCATTTCAACAGAATTAAGCCCCATCACATACTTTAATCAGTTCAAAAGAATTAACCAAATCAAATACTAAGAGGAGAACGATTGTTCACTGCTCCAAGGAAACCAAAAATGCACGTTTGGTAGATAGTGCTTGAACTTGACTTGCAGCTTGATTCAGGAACCGAGGTGCAAACTTCGTAACGGAAATATGGCGACACTCAGCTATATCTGCTCTGGAGTTGAATTCCTTTTTCAGCAAAAAATGCTTTCCAAATTCGGCGTCTAAGAAGCCGATGTTCTGAAGTACGTCGTACATGAGCACACTTTTGGAAAACCATGCTATTAGTATTCCGGCTTTCCAGTACACATGACCAAATTATCGTCGAATGGCAGCCATTTTCGGTGGCCTATATCGATATAACAAGTAGCTTAACATTTACAGAACCTATTAACCGCGTTGTTCACTTTTTGGAATATGGCTGAGCTTTTACTATTCTTCAACCTTGTATTTTCGTTTAGCACATGAACTTACCGTCCCTTTCTTTCTCGCAATCAATCGGGATTCGCAATTGAATTCACTTCCCACCTTGCAAAATATCAACAAAAGGAAAAAGTTGCTTTTTTCGATCATTGCAAGGCTGAACTTGGATAAGTGCGATCACTCAATAGTGCAAGAAGTTCTGCAGATTTGCCATAAACACTGTCAGTAAGAGCTTAAAAATCATCTTTTCAAAGGCATGCTGTAAATTTCACAATGGCAATCTTCAGAATATCAGCGAAATCTTTGTTTACTCATAAAATCGATAGTTTACTGAATGTCTCCTTCCCTTTCCAAAGATTGAGCACGCAAACTGGCTTAACATCTGATAATCGTACTAAAGTTTTGATGTGTTTTGATTACAGTCTAGTTGTCCTGGCTTCAAGAAATTCGCTTTTTGTGGAATCTACAACTATACACCCAGTTCAAAAAGGTCTGAAAGCCAAGAACGAGAAAGCAGAGCAGAAAGTGAGCAAGTCACCAAGTCTAGGTTAGATATGTCGGTACATTTTGACAGTGCCCAAATCAAGAATAGCAGGTGCAGCATGGACGTAGTTGATTACATCAAAGTCATAAGGAGAAGAGGCAGCTTTTTTAAAACAACTCAAAACTTGTTCGCTATTTTGTGAAAAAAAAACCATTTGGCTTGAATTTGCCAACCAACTACGGAAACTACAGCTCTTGATGCTAGTTGAGAATTGATGGAAGACTCAACATGAAATAATTGCAACCTAATTCTTTTTTATAACACGATGACACAGAATAACCATAATACCTGCACAATATCTGTCTATAACCATAATCATTAATTGCATATATCTGACAATCTTTGTTTTTTAATGCTATTATGGAGATACACAGAAGAAAAAAGCAGCTAATTCTAATGAACTTCACTGCATCGCAGAAGATTATTTCTGGGAGGGGTACAGTAGACAGTAGTAGACATGGGTCTATAAAAATGTATGTACTGGTAATGTCCAATTTTCTTATTATTGCCGTTGGTGCCGTACAGTATGTACCCGCTATCAATCCGTTGAGTATTTGAAACCAAAAATCTGTTTCTGTTATTTGTATATACTTGGGAGTCGATCAATACTGGAGTAAACTTGAGACTCATTAGGTCGTACAGAAAGGTCTTTCTGTTTTTTCAACCCATCATAAAAACAAGTGAGAATGAAGAGAAGTGTTTTCGGCATTGTTCGACTCAATTATTTCCCCTTCTTATCACCCGTGTTCGTTACTCTTATGGTCACTGAGACAATCGCCGAAATTTTGGACACATGGTTTTTTTTACCTTGTTCAAGTTGACAATTTTTCAAAACCTTCATCTTGATTCTGGGACCTTTGATGGCCAAATAGCGTAATGAATTGCAACGCAATGCGATCCTTTTGGCACCCATATCTGGCTTTTCAGAATTTTCAAATTATATTAGGTCGTTCCGAAAGTAATGTCGCTTTTTTCAAATGAACGCCATACTTCGTAGAACCGAGATTTTCAAGAGCCTTTGGGGTCGTTCGATGCAGCGCTTCGTCCTATTTTTAATGGTTGTAATTGCATTGCATAATATTCAACGAGCTCTCAAAAAATTGCCAAAACCTGCGACTCATGTTTTTTGTCATGATCAAGTTCGGCTATTGTTCTATATTTTTGTACTCATTTTTCAAAGATATACAAGTTACAAATAAATAGAGCAAACCCTATAGGACACAAAACAGTTGTTTTCTTTTCCTCGTTTTGCTTCTTAGAGCTTGCAAAAACAATTTTTCAGTGCCATCAAATCCCATATTTGGTCAACTCAAACATCACAGAACAACGACCGGCAAGTAACTCGGGTGTCATTCGACGCAGCTTTTTCTCCTCTCCTTATAAGCTGTTCTTGGTTTCCGATTCATAAGGTTTTCCGGGATAAAATCATCATAATTTAGGTTTTTCAGGACGCCCCAGGCTGTGCCCGAAATTTCCGAACGTTACTAATCTGAAGCAGTAAACGCTCATTTGCTTTGTAAAATTAGTGTTAAACCATAATTCACCTTTGTAAGTTACAGAATCCGAGAATTTATTGGTGTTTGATGCACTTGTGTCTAAGACAAGCCTGCTAAAATTCGGTGATTTCATTGAAAAATCTCTATAAAAATTATGAAGAGCTATGGAAAGTAGATAAAAGTTGTACTGTCTCCTTTAGGGTTTGCCAATTTACCTGTTACTTGGACTCCTTCGGAGGATTGTTGTAAAAATTTAGAAAAATTGTGAAACTTGACTTTCTCAAAAAGCATGGGTCGCAGATTTTGGTGATTTTTTTCGGAATTTAGCGAATATTGTGCAATGATCATATAACCTTTAGAGAGAGAATGAAATGCTGCATCGAATGCTACCAAGATTTCCTAGAAACCTTGCTTCCACGAAATGTAGCGTTTACTTGAAAAAAACGACATCACCTTCGGAGCGATCTAATATTTTTGATAATATCATATATCAATTCTGGTTATCCCAAAACTCACAGAACATCAAACAGTGCATAATTAAGATGTCATTCGATGTAACTTTTTCTCCACTTTCTGATAAGTGACTTAGTCAATAAAAATCATAATCTTGATTTTGAAGACGCTTAAAAAGTGAAATTTGTTTCGAAGCTGTGAACGCTCAATTGCTTTGTGAAGATGACGCATGACCATAATCGATTTTTGAGTCTCAAAATCTGGAGATTTGCTAGCATTTAAGGTCAGCGTAAAAGTGTAGCTGCTAAAAAGAGGAAGAAAAGCTGCGTTGTGTTCACAAATTTCCCTGTCTTCGCTTTCCTTTTGTTTTTATAATAGGTTGAGAAAACGGAAAGAACTTTTGGAAAGACTGATAATTTTACGTAAACTGCGCAGTTAATGTGCATTATTTGCAGATTAGCTTTACTTGTAGTGTCGACTTCGAATGTTGCAAACTCTCAGCTTAATAATTTTAATTTTCGATACAAGCAACTGTCTTGATAACATCATGGCGTCCATATATTCAGTGTCTGCCACTGCGCAAAAAAAAAACAACCTAAACTAATCAAAACCCAACATAACAGAAATTATACTCAGTCATCAAACATGGGTCCTCTAAATTTCCAGGGAGATTCCTCGTACTCAAATGAGGACTTCAATCGTTCAATTTTTGGCTTTCCTTTTCGCTTGTTTGTCTTTCTCCTTCCTACTTTGAAAACTGCTGGTTTATTTGCTGATCTATTTTTTGTCTTTAATCGTTTTCCCTTTGCCACATTTTGCTTGGATAACTTATTTGAAGACCCTTTCTTTCTTCCCTTCTTAAGTTTGCGATCTCTTTTGAATGAGCCTTTGCGTGTAGTTTGCTTCTTATTGCTCTTCTTTGTTTTCCTATTTTTCAAAACTGATTTAAGTGCAAATTTGCGTGTGGTCCTATTTTCATTGCTCTCCTTTCCTTTACTGCTCTTCGTAGCTGATTTGATTGCAATTTTGTGTGCACTTTCCTTCCCATTACTCTTCACTTGTAACTTGACTGGAGTTGTCTGCATTGATTCTGTTTTTTCTGTTATGGCAAGGCCTTTCCCGTTTATTCTGGCCTTCCCAGTTCTGTTCTTTTCAGCCGGATTTTTTATCCCAGTTTTCTGGCCCTTAGATTGCATCATTCCGGTGCTAATATTGTTTTTGTCGTTTTTCGTCTTTTTGCTCTGCGCAGTGCCTTTTCTTGCTACCCTACTAGCAACCAGTCTTGGCCTCTGGCTATTCTCATCCACACTGCTTGGTTTAACATTTCCTCCCCCACGTATTCGCACTCTTCTTAATGCTTTGTAGCTAGCCGTTGTTGTCTTTTCCTTCTTGTCCTTATTTAGATCCTCATTATTTCTTTCTTTTTGAATATTTCCTGTCATGTCGCTTTCGGAGTTGTGGCTGTTGGAAGGCTTCTTAAGTTTTTTGCCTTTACGAAGTGTATTCCGTTTACTGCCAGCTGTAGTATACTTTCCTTTTCTCACCTTGATTTTTTCGTCAAACTCCTCTGCAGTTTTGGTACCATGTGCTTTGATGTTTCCTCCTTTGTTTGCACCATTTACTTTGATGTTGCTTTTTCCCGCTTTTTTGGACTCTTTATCGCTACTTGTCTTCTTCTTCTTTTTCTTCTCGTCTCTTTTCTTATTATCTCCCGTCTTTTTCCTTGCATATTCGTCGTCTTCAGGCTTTTGCGTGGAACCATTTGACATAATCTTGTCAGGTCGTTCTTCGTTATTCGTTCTTGCTATCGGAGTCTCGCCTACTTGTGCAAACTCTGAATCCTTTCTGCTTGTGCTGTTTTGTCTCTCCAATACAATATCTGATGCAGCTCCCTTTGAGGCTCGATCACCTTTTGAAGTTTGCTCTTTGTCTGAAACAGATTTGCTATCTTCTTTTCTTCTATCTTGCATCTTTAATCTGGCCGCTTCATCGTTATACAGAGGCTTCTTTTCCTTCTCACGCATAATCTTTTTGTTTTCTTCGAATTCATTACCTCTTGTTTTACCGTTTACAGATTTATTACTGTCAGGCTGAAGTACAACCACAGCTGCTACAGCATTACCCTTTCGAACATTGTCAATTGTGGTGGTCCTTCCTTTTCTTGATTCGTTGTCTCCCTTGAATTTTTGCAAAGATTTGTTACTACGCAAGTATGTGTTCCGCTCCGCATACAAGACCGTCGCTTTTTTACCTTCTTCCATTTCTCTGAATGGTTTAGAGCTACCTGCCATGTCCTTTTTCTTCTCGCTTTCCTTTTCTTTTCCATTACCTCTCACTCTGCCTTTTACGAATTGACTGCTATTGGAATTTTGCTTGGCGGCAAAGGTATTCTGCTCAGGTCCACTTTCACTAATGCTCATCATATGCGAAACTGCTCCGTTGCCGTATTCAAGCTTTCGTTTGTTGCTGCTTGTAGTAATCTTTTTTCTTTCTTGTCCCCTGTCTCTCGCATTCTTTTTTAAAAGTGGATCAGCATCTGCGCTTTGGTTTACACCTTGGCCATTTTCTGCTGTACTGTCTTTCCCTGCATTGAACTCCATCATCTTTTGCGCATGCTTACTACTTGGTAAGTTTCCATCACTTAAAGTTTTGCTGTTTTCAACTCTGTTAGCAGACTTTTGTGTGACTCTCTTCAGTGCGTCCTTGTCAACGCTCGCTTTTTCAACCACAGTCGTTCTATCGGCGTCCAAGCCAGATTTTCGATTACTGCCACTCTTGGTGTTCTCCTCCTTTTGTGGTTCTTTGTCTTTCTTGACCTTCTGAGAACTGACACTATTCGGTTTAGTATGTCGTCCCTCCTCTGTGCTTCGTTTGAACGCTCCATCGCTATCTAACGAGGCATTCCTTTCCTTCTCAAGATTATTTTTGCCACGTAATCTTCCTCCCTCATTTGCAGTTTCGTTAACTGGTCTTGGTACCTCCTTACTTTCCTCTTTCCTTCCTTCTTCCCCAATAGTCCTTATCCTAACGTTTGCAGACTTGTCCGTACTAGCTTTTGTAACACCATTAGAAGTACACGGCTCTAATCCATTTGCGTCATTCTTCATCATAAGTTGCGAATCTGCTCCGTCATCATAGCCAAACTTTCGATCGTTACTGCTTGTGGTGTCCCTTTTTCCTTCTTGTCCGTTGTCCCTCCCATCTACTTTTGAAAGTCGATCAGCATTAGTTAATGAGTTTCGCCTTACACCTTTGCCATTTTCTGTTGTAAGTTTTTCTCCTGCTTTGGGCTCTTCATCGCTATCCAACAAACCTTTCTCCTTATCCTGTTGCATATTGATGCTTAATTTGTTTCCATCATTTACTGCCTTGCCATCTTCAACGGTGTTCGCGAACCTTCGTGTAGCGCCCTTCGATGTGTCCTTGTCAGGCACTTTTGTACTCACAATCGCTCCAGGAACGACGCCAAATTTTCCGTCATTCCCACTCTTGGTGTCCTCCTCTTTTTGTGGTTCCTTATCTTCCTTGACTTCTTCCGGAAAACTGGCATTATTTAGCTTAGTATCCCTCCCCTTGTCTCTCCGTCGTTCCAATCCATCGCCATTGAACAAGGTTTTCTCCTTTTCACTACTTTTCCTGCTATTTGATTTTCTTTTCTCGCCTCTTCCTTTTGTGGATTCCGTACCAATGACAGGCTTCTGCCTAGTGACACTTGAAGTGTCATAACCAGTTTCTCCTTTTCCATTTTCCTTTTCTGAACTTGTATGTGTTCTATAGTTTCCAGGTCCAAATTTTCGTTCACTGACCCATGCAGTGGTCTTTTCATCTTTTGGCAGCTTATAATTTTCGCTTCTGTTAGCATCACTTTTAGTACTTTGCTTCTTATCAGTGCCGGCTTTCTCATTTTCTGTTTTTACAATTTCGTTTACTTTCCTAAACGCTCTCTCGCTTTGTGAATTAGATTTTCTTTCTTTCTCACTCATTGTGCTGCTTGATTTCTTTAAGTAATCCGCTTTCGTTTTTTCTGTAACCTTGCCTTTTGTAGGTTCTTGCATGGTCTTAATTGAGGTGTCCCGGTGATCTCGCAGACTTACATTATTCTTCATCTCTATAATCCTCTCATCGCCACCAATCCTAATTCGATCATTGTTGCTTGTGGAAATCTTCTTCTTTTTTGACCACTTGTCTCCTTCAGTCTTGTGCGATTTGCCGGCATTTGAACTCTTCTGTTCCTTGTCTGACACAGCTTTGCCATCGTCTGCTTTTCCTTTCATTTCTTCTGATGCTTCATTGACGCTTGCCTTCTTGTCCTTGTTTTCCTCACGCATATTCTTGTCTTTTGTTTGTTTTCCACCACTTCTGCTCTTCTTCAGTTTGCCATTTGATGTGAACATTTGCTCAGCGGCATTCGATGCACGATAATTTCCGCCTTCTGCTTTTTGCACGGAAACTTTCGTGGCAGTTTCATAATTCCGAAGACCGTAATTGTGGCTTCCTTCATTCAGAGTACTTATGTTGTTTCCACCTGTTTCATAAAGTAATAATGTTTTGCTTTTATTCCCCTTTTTGGAAAATCCCTTTTCCTCTCCATCTTTATGTCTCATCGGGACTTGACCGCTGCTGCGAGTAAGTTTTCTTTGATTACTTGTAAGATAGCCATGACTGCTTGCCAGTGTCGTTGTTTCTTTCAGAAGCACATTGTAATTTTTGAAGGACTTCTTCACATTCTTTTTGTTTTCAGTTTCGTCCTTGGTAAATCCTTCCATTTGACCAACTCTGCCTGCGGTCTTCTCTTTTTCGAATTTTTTACCGGCATTCTTTCCCGATTTAACAATGACCAAGATTATTCCATTTGCAGGTTTGCGCTTAACCGTTGTTTCTTTTTTATTCTTTACTTCTTCAACACTATGCATTTTTTCTTTAGGCATCATTAATGCCTTGGTATCACCTAAAAACCTTCTTTTTTATTAGCTTTTAGGACTGTTTCTAAGAGCCATCCTTACCATTTGTTGTTCCAAAAACTGATCTGGCAAACTCAGAAGGTTGAGTGGATTCTTTGTCTCCTGCTTCTTCAAAGTTTGATGTAATTCTCGTTACCGCTTCTTTCACTCTTTCATCATCTGAAGTCTTTTTTGAAAATCTGGTTTTGATTTTCGCTTACCTTTTTTGCCTTACCGAGTCCTTGCTTTCCTATCGAAATCTTCGCAGGCCTTTGCTTGCCAGCTTGTGCCGCGTCACCTACCAACTTCATATTTCCACTGCCTTCTACTCGCTTTTGTAAGTCGTCAGCTACCGCATTTTTGTTCGCTTTGAAGAAATGCTTAGAGTATTGCTTCTCATTTTGATATCCATTGTATCTGGATGGTGCTGCTGTCACTATTTCGCTCGAAATCTTGGGCGGAGTAATGTTTTCCAAGCGAGTTATGCGTTTCTGCATCCTCAGACGTCTAAAAGAGACAGTAGATGAAATGTTGCCTTTTTCGTGAACATTGCGTTTCTGCGTCTTCAAATTTTTAGCTATAGTTGTAGATGCGGTAATGTGTTTGACTCCGATTTCACGCTTTTGCGTTCTCAACCCTTCAACCGAAATGGATGGAGTGCCACCTATGTGAGTATGGGCATTGGTTTTATGAATCGTCAACCTCTCTGAAGCTGCAGAAGGAGGTATGCCTCTGACTGTGGTTGTACTTTGCCTTCTAATATCTCTGATCGAAGAAGTAGAAAAGTTGTTATGCTTGAAGTGTGTTTTGCGTTTTTGAGTTTGCAAAGCTTTGACAGTTGTAGTAGGTAAGCTGAAGCGAGTTTTGCGTCTTTTAGCAGCGTTGCTCTTTCTCGTAGAGTGGACTCGTCTAGTTTTTTGCTTCTTTCTCTTAGATTCCTCTCGACGTTTCTTCTTTCTTACCACTTTTTTTCGTCCACTTCCGCGTACGCTCGCTTCAAAGCGTATATTTCCTACTTCATCACTATACAAGCTCTCGTCTTCGGAAAGAGCTTTCTTCGTCTCTAACAGCTTTTTGAGGCTCTTTCTGAGCAGTGCAGGATTCTTCTCAACAGACTCTCTCCTAACAGAAGAAGATATGTCATGCTTTATCTTGCTTTTATTTTTGCCCCTGTTCCACCAGGGTCCATGTTCCAACTTTTCACTTTTTGACCACCACGGACCATGACCCCAGTGCTGCTTTGCTGCCTGAAAAATCTTTTGGATGAAAAGAGGCACGCGAGTTGTAGGAGCTACACCTTGGATCTTTTCCTTCTATTGTGCAACACTGTTTCTTTGCCATCTAGCAAAACATCAATCAAAGCATCGACACGTTTCAGCGACACTCGGTCTACAGAACTCTGAAACAATCGTTTGAAAAGCCTTATCATTGTTGTTGCGTATATGGAAGATGCAGTCAGCATTTTCTTCATGTGGCAAAAAACGTAAATGCTTCTCAGAAGTTCTCACCTTGAAGTTGTAGGAAACTAACGATAAGCGTGTTTTCACGGCTACTTGTGATTTTTGTTTATAAGCTGAAGAGTCGATGATTTCTTAGAATCTGCGTTACTCTATCCGCATATGTGTAGAAAGAGAAACTGTAAGAATTCAGGCGACGATTACCTTCAAGCTGAATGGCACTTCTATGCTTTCAGAGCTAAGTGAGCTGCGAAAGTATGCCAAAAAGTTGCCATACAAGAGTTTTCGGAGCTCAACATGAGCTTGCAAGAAAGGAATCATGTTGAAAGAAATGCATTCAAACCGCGTTACGTCGTACCAAGAAAGGCAAAAAAAATGAAAATTTTATGTGCAAAACAGCATCACATGTAGGAGCCTAAGGCAAAAACATTCCACAGATTGACATAAGTTGTTCCAAAAGTGCTGTCGTTTTTTCTAAACGCCAAGCATGCATTTCATGCAGCTTTTTCTTCTCATTGTGTGGTTATGATTTTTTGATCTCCTAAGCCCTTTTTCATAACAACCCCTCACATCTAGAATTTTGGTAGCGAGTATGAAAGAAATAGCGCACGTCTCGAACTAATGCCATTGCTTTTCATTCTTGAATTTGTTTGTCTGAAGCTTTAAGAAATTATTTATCTAGAGTTCTCCATTTTTCGTTGATTTATGAAAAATTGAAGCAAAAAATCTGAAAGCTTTTGAACTTTTTGCTAGCAGTGTATGGGCCGGTTTTATAAGTCGTAACGTTTTCATGAACCTAAGAAACGCAAATTCAATAAAAATCCATTTGATGATATATGCTCCAATGTTGGCGCAACCTTCTGCCACTCCGCCGTCAATCCAACCTCTTTTTTCCACAATCAAAGGGTCCGATATCGAAAACAGACTCAAAGAGGTCCTCTTATAAAGGAAGATATGGACTATTGAGACAATCGCCTTGGAGGCGGCGGCTTAGCAGAATGACAATTCTGGGATATTCATCGTTCTCGGTTCCCTTGGATGAGCTAAGTCCAAGACTGCGTTTTGCGGTTTCATAAGGTATCAGTAACCCGCTTTTTCAGACGTGAAAAGTGTTGTTCGGGCGGGTCGCAAAAGCGGCTGCTGGAGCCACTAATCCAATTTCCGCCGAGATGGATACGGTGTCTCCACTCACGAGCCAATCGCGCTCTAGAGGGCAGGCATACGCCGTCCTCCCAAATAGCACTTTTCACGTCTGGAAAAGCGGGTTATTGATATCTTTTGAAGCTGCAAAGCACATCTTGGACTTAGCACATCCAGGGGAACCGAGAATCATAAATATCCCAAAGTTGTCAAGCTGCCGAGCCGCTGCCTTTAAGCCCTGGGTATACCTCACGCGATTTCAGTCGCGACGCTATTCGGAAATACTCCAATTGATCATAACTCATCATAAGGGATTTCTAAATGAAATGAAAATGGGTCATTTTATCAGCCTGCGAAAGTTATATTGTACATACTATGCATTTGGGGTCTGCCGGTTATGAATTTGAGGACAACTGGAAAATAGCCCAGATCGCGTGGCAAGTGAAATCGCGAAGGTTTGCGCAGAGCCTTAGACTAGCGACACTGGAGTTCTCTTCACTTGACTTAACAAAAACAAAGAACTACTATATCGAAAAGACTTACGCGCGTGAAAGACAAAGATTTTATTCAAACTAATGACTCCTAAGACCGTGAAACACGGTGCTCATGGATCTAAATAGCGGGCAGATACGAAGCGCTGACTTAACCTATTAACGCTGTATCGCAAAGTCTGTTGTATATCAAAATGTAGCTTACCTTAACAGAGGCTCGTACAGTTGCAGCGATGTCGATGATTTCGCTGGATCCTACAAAAAAACTGACACGAATAAAAGGCAACATCTTTTTGAATCTTGAGTACCTAATTATGCATGTATTTACGTTAAATTTCATAGTAAGGAGGCGCTTTATAATGTTTCACTTTCTGTGACTGCTAATGCGTCTTAACGTTTACGAAAAAGTTGGCATAAATTTTTGGCGGATTAATTTTTTAGTACTTACCTTCGCATAAGATATGCAGTTATGGTGGTGACTACAGCACGTAATCACTATATTAATACTTTATGTCAAACCATCCACAATTTTGCTTTGTGTGTCTCAATGCACTGCTCAAATCACGAAACAATTCTCAATATACAGAGCTTATCAATTGCAGTGTCGCTACGCCAGCATCTCCACTCTCGCGCTGGAATCTGCGCCTCTTCAGCGAAAGTACTCTCTAATCATTTCCAATCAATTGAGGCTCCGCCTTTCCCACGCTCGCCCTGGGAAAGTGATCGGAGAGCATATTAGCGAAAGAGGTGCAGAGCGGCCGCGTGGGAGCAGAGGTGCTAGCATCCGACACTGCGGTTGGTAAGCCCTGTATATTACTTTTCTTTGTGGAAAAATTCAAAAGTATAGAGGAACTGTCCACGACTGCTTGCAAAGCCGTTTACTGACTTTTTCTCGTGTTAGTTTTCTCAGATATCTTTGTCTAGGCAAAACAGGCGTATAGCCGCACTTTCGATGCAGAGTGGGACAAAAATTCAGAGTCTTCTGTGTTCGTGTTGCCCTCCTGATTCCAATTTTCTGGCAAGGGATCAAAGTGACCAATAGGCAACGCGATATATATTTATTTTTTATTTAATTATTTATTGATTCAATACGCTCTTGGCGTTCCTTACAAAAAGAACAAAAAGAACACATCAAAGTCTACCATGAGATTAGGTTCAAACCTTCAAATTGGTTAAGAATTGTATGTTGACTGAGCTTGTATGTGACTGCTCTAGATTACAGTTGTCAGAATTTAAAGATGTGATCATGGAGATGGTACCCATGCCCCATTGTTGCCAGCAAAACGTCTCTGAGATATTCTATAACCTAGGTTTGGATGGTGGGTATACTCTCACCATATGAGGCAAGTAGGATGAGTTTAATAACTGGAGGCTAATTTTGAGTAATATGGAGGGTTGTATTGAATCATATGTGATCGAGAAGATCGACTAGTTGTTGAAAGCCATGGAGGTGTATATATATATACTGTACCTCAAAGCTTGGAAGTTTATATGTGACCACTATCTGCAATGGAGCTAGAAATACGGCCTTCAGGCGGACGAAGTTGCTCTAGTGGCCCTAAGACCAATGGTGAGTTTCTATTACCCTATTTTCAGGTGTATAAGCCGCGGGGTGGTCCTAGCTTAAATCGACCAGCCCGAATACATCAAAGGACCTCGCAATCAAAGGACCCTACGCCGTGCTGTGTATTGCCTGAAAGAGTCGTACGGCATAAGAATCGCTTCTCGAAACACAATGAAGCGGCAGAGCAGTCCGGGCGAAAACTTGAAAAAGTGCGGCTTATACACCTGAAAATAGGGTAGTTGACAACCGTGGGGTCTGATTATTAGTGCCGTCATAAATTCTGGTTTTTTTATTCTCAACAATGTATTCCATCTTCCTCTTTGAGTTTTAGGGCAAAAAATGATTAACCGATAAAAAATTACAAACATACAATAATTGAGCTCTTTCAAGATACTCCACAATTTCAGTGTTAAGGTTTAAGGTTTTAAGGTTTTTCTGGAGGTTTTTGAAAATTCCGATTTATTTGTTTTTGTTTCGTAGAAACTCCCGCCTTTGAATCGATCGAGCTGAAACTTTGCATAATTATGTATTCTACCCCTGTGCAGATTATAAGCTACTTTCACCGGCAATTCGCAGGATCCTTCTATTTATTTATTGTACTTAAATCTGGAAAATCGAAAGTTTGGCAAGTAAGAGCTAAAGCTAGTTCTAATTTTAAGATCTACAGGATGGTGCAGTTCGTCTCCAAGCATGCTTGAAGAAGTTTAGAAGTGTAAGCAAAATATCTCGGTTGAAATATTCAGGGTATCGAGTAAGACCGAGACAACCAGCTGGTAATCACTAAATTGATATTGAGGGTCAATAGGAGGGGTAACAAAACTTTTTTGTCAAGCATGCTCATCCACCCTCTCTCGTAATTTCTTAGATTATCAGTGCATCGATTGCAAAAATCATTGAATTGTTGAACCCAATCAGTATCATCTGTTAAAACAGCTTAATTACATACACCTAGTTAGAGTTTTGTTTGCGAAGTGTTCAAGTGAGCAAACCTGGCAGCTACAGCAAGCTTCCGATCATTTTTTTCTTCTTAAGAAAAGCGAAACATTTTTTTGAAGAACAGAGCAAAAATAAACCGGGCCAAAATTCCAAGCATCCTTGTCTGCTTCGAGCCAAAGACATTCAGCGCTAGGCCACATTACCACTGCTAACAGTTTGGTCCGTTGCCTTAGACGTGCAAGAGCGCGTTTCCCTCGCTAATACCAATTCACAGTTTGCTTTAAATAACGCTTTTTGATTAAAAATATTAATGATGTCTCCCAAGCTCTCACTTCCAGTCTACCCTGATTCGCCATTTAAACTTCATAGCTGTTCTAGTAGCTCATGACTTTTCAAAAGCATAGATGATTTTTTGATCGTCTTTGGATAACGTAAGTTACATCTGACACGATATTTTTCGTTGAGAAAACGGAGTTGGCAAAGGCCTATTTTCCACAACATACACTTACAGCATACAATGCAACCTGTTATAAAGAAAAAGAGCCGTCTACACCGTTATAAATTTAGGTTTTGAAAATGCTATAGGGCGTACTGTTTTATCGAGTCAATACTCTATTGAGAAATATATATATATATATTAGAGTGGAAAATAATGAGCAACTGACCCCAATGAGTCAATTTACAAAAAAAGCACCTGTCTTTACGGCGCCGTGGTTCTTTATATTTTGAGTACCACGAATCGTGAAAACTTGATTGCAATTTTGATTTTTGCTTCAGTAATAAATAAAAAATTGTAATTATATAATTGAATACTTCATAGAGTACTAGCTGGCAAACCCGGTTCAAAGTGTATGTGTGCAAAGTTTGGTCCGGATCGGTTCAGAATTAAAATTTCCTATTCGGAACATACGTACAGACGGACAGACAGACATACAGACAAACAGACATTCGGCTTTATATACAAGATTTTACCCTTATTTTATGTGATTTGAGGGTTGATTCAAAGACAAAAAAGCTTTTTACCGACCTAATATCAAATGCTAGACAAACGGGAAATAGACACACTAGAATCTCTTGCCATAGACAAGAGACACTTTGAGCAGAGCTACTAAAAAAGAGAAGTAAAATCTGCTATCCTCTTGTTTAACGGCGTTATAGGGCAATTTTCAAAAGAATTAAGTATCTAGTGAGTCTTCGTGGCAATAGAAGGTGGTCGGTAGAGTATTTAATGTGTAAGGCTTGCTTTCCTATGAAGGCAAAAACGTCTTGCTCTTGACATTGTCTCAGTGAGCAAGTGAGAAAAAATATTAGCACTGGTGAACGGAACACATACCAAAACTTTGTTTCCCATTTCGTTGCGAGAACTTCGCGGGATTATTGCTCGTTCGATGTCGTGTTTGAATTTCCTAAAATAGCGTTTCAATGTTTGCTGCATCGGCTGAGAATCTGCTTCAAAGAAAAAAAATAAGTTACTTACCGCGCTCACGATTCTTTCCGAGGTGGCATAGAGCAAGATGGACACAATCAAATAACTCATTGTATGACATAAGAAAGCATTCTCGAACTCTCCGCGGAATGATTTGATCTGATTGAAATTACCAAGTGATCAAACAACGTGGTAATTTCCGATTAGAATTTTACTGGTTGCTATGCTGAACATACTCGCTCTTTATTACTACTGATCAAGAAATCGAAATTGTATCTCCGCAAAATGCGCCTCAAACGTCCTCATGAAAAAGGGCTTTGCTCTAGATAATTTTTTCACAGATTCTTTAAGGACTGTCTCTCTGCCACGTTTCACAGTAGAGGTCGTCACTTCAGGCTCAGTTCTTTTTTCAAATCATTTTTGATGAGGCACGAGAGTATTTATGGCTCAAAAAGTTTGATGGCTTTTTATAAAAACACAACAATTCAAAACGTTCATTAGAATGTTCTTTGTCGCTTCCAGCAACGATTTAAAAAATCTTCTTTTTTGGATTTTCTTCACCATGCGAATTTAGCAGAAAAAATTACAAGTGATGGCTTGAAGTAGCTGGCTGACGCCTGTTTTGAAAACAATGGTTTACTTTTTTGTTTTAGACAAATTTTTTATAGAACACAAAATTTTAGTCTTATAACTGTGATGTTAATTTCTAAAATCGTTGGACAAAAATGAGGTCATTATTGATTAAAGATAGACTCTTACATTGGTAGCCAGCAGTGGCGTACCGAAACGGAGGAAGGGGGGGGGGGGGAGAGAATGGGTTGCAAAATTCTTGAAAGTTGCTTAGATGTGTTATAAAATGTGCAAAGGATTTGTTTTTGCTTTTGAGTAAGCAGTATTTGTCTAAAGTTTTCAGAAATTCAAATTAGGCGTGTAAAAAATCTTTTCAGGCCCCTGACCCTAAAAATTCAGAAATAAGGGAAAGTGGCTGCTGCCAAAAAGATATTAGGAAGCATCTCAAACAAATTTTTCGGAGTGCGTCTCTCACGCCACGCAACCTCCATCCGAAAAAACTCCCGAATGGAAATCCTGGGTAGGCCACTGGTGACCAGGCCAAACAAAGCCTAGGTAAAATCTGAACGTGTAAATAGATGACATGTCAGTTCTTTTTGACACGTGGCAGGAGATTGACACCCTCCTATGAAGTAAGACTTGTTAGAAAAATAGGTCTAGATAACGGACAAGTACAAAGAAATTTCGGAAATAACATTGCAACAAGAAGCATTATATGGCGAAGCCGGGTTTACTGAGAAAGGAGTGCATATCAGTTTA